TAAAGCTCTCTGGGATGAAAGGTAAATGTAAGATACATATAATGTGATTATTGTATTAGGCTTCTTATTGTGATACAATAGGGTTTTGTTATTAAGACAAATGGCGAGCAAAACCAAATTCATGTATTACACATCTCCTCAAGGCAGTGTGGGTTGGGAATCATTCACCACTGAAATCCCAACCCCACCCCCACCCCCATCTGGAATTCTCTTGTTACTTCCTGTTTCACTAAAGCAATCCCAGAATGTGTTACTCTGTGACCTATGCCTTGGATTGCATGGGTTTCAGTGACACTGGCACTTCTGCTGTGTGTGATGGCCCCTTCTAGGCTACTGTCTGTGAAACAGCAGGTACTAAGGATTTTGCAGAAGGGGTGGGAAGGAGAACTATTACAAGGTTCTCTAAAAAGTTAGGGAGGCTGCTCTGGTCCTGATCCTACTGACCTAGCTTCCTGCTGCTCGCCCCCCCCAGTTTGCTTAGGGGAGGAGTTCAGGAGAAAGAGCCTGCATTTAACTCCATATTCAGTTTTGCTTTGCAGTTCACCTTTGACTATCTCTACACGGAAGCCAGTGGAACACAAATTTCTAGCAGTGACTCTCAGCCCACACAATGTCTTAGCAGCTCAGGCTTTTGAAATTGTTTTTCTCACAAATAATCTGATTTTATCTCCAATTTTTAAAAAGGGAAAGAAAGAGAATTTCCAGTTTTGTACCCGTTAGAAAAATACACAATTGTGGGTCCTGAAACTGTGTGAAAATAAGTTACAGTGGAAGAGCATATGCTGACTTTTTATGGAGGTTTTCTAATTTTATGTTTTAAAGGTGCCTTTACATAGTATTGAAGAGTAAAAGTGATAATTTTTTAATTTAAATGAAGTTCAAAATGTACGTCATCAAGGATCTATTTCCCCCTCCTCCCCATTCTTAAAATATTTTGGCAGACTCCACAACACTTGAAGAGAGTCTCCTTTCTGTCTCACAGGGGCGAATTGAGAGAGATCATAAGGGACTTATGCCTGCATGTTGAAAAGAGCTCAGTGTGCATGTGGACCCCATGAACGCAAGGATCTTCCTGCACAAATCAGGGTCTAATACTACTTCAAATAAACATCATGATTTCACAAAAGACGTTGCAACCGAAATATTTTGACTGTTGCGGGTGTGTGTGTGTGCGCACTCATTCCTGGCCTATTCATTTATTGTTATTTTAGAAGTCATTGGGAGTTTTGCTATTGACTCCAGTAGAGCCAGGATTTCTCCATGTACTTTCTTACTGAAACAGAAGAGCACATGGAATTCATCCCTCACCATTCTTTTCTACCATTGCCACTAATGAGATCAGAGGGACGCCCCACTCCCAGACACCCTTTGTGGGACCAGTAGCCAAGAGGGGCATTTAATTTTATCTACAATGGGTAAGACCAAAGCAGCAATGAAAAGATACAGTTAGTTTTTATCCTTTGTGCACAGAGATTCTCATGGAACTCTCTCCCTACCCCCACACTCTCCTTTTCAAAATTGCTATGTGGGGGTGGGGGAAGCTAATCTCTTTTAGGTCTGTGGGGCAAGGATCCCTTTTTGACATGGCTTTAAAGGTCACAGGCTCTTTTGCCTTTCTGTTATGCCACACAGATGACTGTAAGCAAGCAGGCTGCCTGGGAGCACAAAGGAGCGCTGTCTGACATTTGGCAGAACACGGTTAATGTTACAGAGGAAGGGAATCTGAAAACAAAACCGGACTCTATGCTATGCAAAGACACATCGGGGACAGAGCCCCAGAGCACAGACAACAGAGATACATAGCATCCCACCCAAACGTGTATTCTAGACAAGCCTAACAGAATTACTGCTGGGCTCTAATAAGCTAAATACAGCACACTACATTATGAAAGCACTTGGCAAATGTTAATTAGACAAATCCTGCTTCAGTCATAATGCTCGCTGATTTCAGGCAAAGACCACAGTATTTGTTAACAACCCTTCTGTTCTGTAGACGATTGTACGTTAGGCTGTCTGTAGCTGCCAGTTTTGAATAAGCGTTAGCGTCTCTCACTCTCTCCATAACGTATGCAACAAAGGCACAGCCACGCAGAAACACATCTGTCTTGCTGTCTCCATTGCGAGCAAGGCATTTCTTCTCTTGCAGCCACACAAACTAAATGATTTTCACCATGCAAATTACCTCCCCCCACACACAATTTGTTACTGTGGTGTATTGCTTTTAAAAACAACGTGTTAGTTGTCCCAGTAGAGCAGCAGCTGAAGGTTCCACCATCAGGGGCAAGTCCAGAATATGGGGCGTCATTTTTGGGTGTCCACTTTCTATGCCAGTGGAGACACAGGGCCGCATGCAAATCTTGCCCTGGATCTCTAGGGGAGAGCAGTGTTTGGGTGGGTCAGCATCGGGGGCAGTGTCCGAGCCACGGCTGAGATGCACATGGGAAGCACCACCAGGCCCATGATCTAGGCGCTGATGGAAATGAAAACTTTGAATGGCTTTTTGAACGGAAAACTCCTTTTCAACAAATTTGTCTCAATGGATCTAGCTTGTTCCAATCCAGCCTGTGCTATGTTTGTTCTATTTTCTCATTGTTACCAGCCAGCGGTTTCTTTAGGATTTCTTTTATTTTTACGGTCTAACCCCAAAATGGCCAGGACAAACACACCGATCAGAAGAGAATTAGGGCATCCTAAATACTACAGCATCTACAAATGTAGGCGTCTTTCATTGGCCTCTTTGGCCTAGGTCTTGCAGCGCACGAGGGACCTGCTGTTCTAAGATCGTGTGCTCTAGAGCTGTACAATGTGGTGAATGTTCATAATTGGCTTAAAATATTTGGGCTCTGTTTGATACACTCTCATATGGTATTCTGAAAAAAAAACAAACCCAGCACCTGCCTAGATTGAGCTTCAGGGAGAATGTGATTTGAAATGAAAATCCTGCTGCCTCTTTTTTGTTTTTCTTGAACCCTCCCCCATCCACTACCTTTTATTCTTTAGGGCCTGTCGACTGTGATTGCTTGACTGATGGATCGATCTGTGCCTGGCATTTCTCCACCTGCTGCAGCCTCATGTAGGGTTTCCTCTTCTAATAGGACCGATGCAACGCATCTTTTTATGGATTTTGCTTTTCAAACCTGAGTTGAGGATAAAAGGCTTGAATTGCTGAACTCTGGTAGATATCCCAGCCCATTCTCCTCTTCTCTCCGTGGCAGCTTTCAGCTTTATCTTTGGAGCTGCAGAGCCTAGCTTGTAATCAATAATGTTTGGTAAATGACTAGTCACAGAGAAGCTTTTCCTACACGTACTGGGCCAAATCAGTTCCTGGGGCAACTCTGTTGCAGTCAATGGAGTTACACCAGCAATGAATTTAATCCTCACACTCTTCTGACTTGTCCCGTTTGCTTACTGTGGCGCTCCCAGTTTTGGACTATAACGTATTCAGATCTCTCTCTAGTGCCTGCTGAATATACTCTGTGGTCAATACATGACACGTGGAGACCTGACACGCTATATTTGGTATTTAAATCTGCTGAGAGTGAGAGAGAGATTTAAAGAAGCGCCTTCTTAGCAATTTTCAGAATTTAAAAAAAAAAAAAAACTTTCCCTCCCTGCTAATAATTCCCCCTTTGAAGCTTAACAATGAAATCTGTTTCCTCAATGTGTTCTCACTCATCCCCACCTCCCCTAAGAGGCTGGATGCATTCTTATTGCTGGGCTGCTCAGGAGGGCTGGGCATAGTGCCATGGCTGCAATGTAGTAGAAGAGCATTCACACATTTGTTCTGAGGCGATGTGGTCAGTCTGTGCACACGCACGCACTTTGCAGGCCTATAGAGAAAGGGGTCATGGGGGGAGGGGGGGGAAGCTTTGGACCTTGACAACATCCATTCTAAAATGGAGAGTACCGTCCTTGAGGTCATGGGTGCTACACCAGAGCTGCATTTGACCCCCAGAAGCTGGTTTGTGGTATCAAATGGGGAAAGTGAACACAGCGGAGTGGATTCTGCACTGACTTCCAACCCCTGCAGCCCCACTGACTTCAAGGGAATTGCATGAGAGAGAGTTCCATGCGGGATAACAGCTGATAAACATATGGTCGGAAAGGTGCTAATCAGTCACAATCGCCTGTGGGATTAACTGATTTAAAGAGAACCCTTCTCCTCTTGCGCTTGCAGCACCAAAAACATCATTTGCACTTTATAATCAACTAAGCAGGTGCATCTAAGTGGGGATACAAGACGTGGGGTCTGGGTGGAAGGAGATGCGAGTGCTACCGGTGCGGGGGTAGGGGGGTGAAAGGCAACTCCTGAAAGCCAGAACTAGAGCAATACCTTTTCGTTAATTGACATTTTAAGCACTGTGGGTTTAATTACATGTGCAGTTGTACACCTATTTGCCTGACATGCATGGGCAATCATGATATCTGTGCACAGGAATAGCCACTTGCATGGGTAATAACCAAATTTGTGCACACAACACTGACTCAAGGAATTGAAAACAAGCCTACGGCAACACAGCTGTGGGGGTGTTTGGGGTTTGTTTTTTTTTAAAAGAACCAAAACATTCTGACGGTTTTGAAATATTTCTTTCACCAAGGAAGGGTAAGAATTTAAGATGTAATGAAGTTGGGGCCTGATCCAAAGACTATTCAAGTTGATGGAAAGTTTCCTATTGACTTCCGCAGGCCTTGAAACAGGTTCAGAATGGTCAATTGCTTTTGGGAGTCTGCCATAGATTTGAAGAATCTGAGTGAATGTAAGTCTTTGGTGCTTGCGTGCTAGGCAACAAGGTGTGGGGAAAAATCAGTGGTGCTCGTGCCCTATGTGGCTAGTTGGGAGGCAACGGCCTGGCTGGCTGGGGCAAAGGAATGGGTGCTGGTGGGCAGTACAGCTGGATATGGGGAATAGGGCTGGCTGGCCAGGTGTGGGGCAAAGGGCGGGAAGGTTTAGACAGCAGTAATTTCATTGCAGTGCTGATTGATCTCTCATCCCCCTGCAGGTGAGAAGCCTTACAAGTGCTCGTGGGAAGGGTGCGAGTGGCGTTTTGCACGAAGCGACGAGCTCACAAGGCACTACAGGAAACACACAGGGGCAAAACCCTTTAAATGCAACCATTGTGACAGGTAATGCAGCCTTCTAAATCTAGTGTTCAAGCAAATGTACTGCTGGTGAAAGACAGCACACTGCCCGCCCCCAGGGACCAAAGCCTCTGGCTTTCCACATAGCATACACCACAGCAATGCATGTTTCCTTACAGCGCATCGCCAATGTTTTTTTTCTGCCCTGAAATCCCTCTCTTCCTCAGTGGCCAGCAGGAGTGTCAGGAGTGGTGGGGGGTTTGGGGAAGTTTGTCCGCTAGCAACTGGGCTGAGACCAGCAACTAATTTCTGTACCTTTTTTCCTTCTGGATACCTAAAGCAGAAGCATGGAGTCAAGGCCAGATTGTGGTCCCAGCAAAGTCAGTGGGAGTTTTGCCATTGACTCTGACCGGAGCAGGGTCTGGCCCAATGCACAGCTTTATTTAGCAAAATCTCGCTTTAATGTGCATAAACTCTACCCAACCTGCTAGCTGCAACAACATCTTGGCTTTCCCGCTCCATGATCCCATGTGACTTGGGCAACAACAAAAGACTGAATTTGCAGCTGCCCTTCCTTGCTTACAAAATTGTGATTGGGCTCCACCTCTTGGCTTCCTATCCCTGTAAAGGAAGTCACCTGAGGACTGTCGAACCTCACAAACCAGTGGGTCAAGCGAGTCAACACAGCCTAAGATGGGGAGTGTGGGACACTCACAGGTTCTCAGGTGAATGGCGAAGGCACCCAAGACCTAGAACCAACCCGAGGGGACTGACAGCATTTTCCCTTTTCCACATGTTAAATCTATCATTGATCTTCTGGTTCAGTTAACTGAGCACACAGACCTATGTTTGCCTCTCTTCCTATAGGCAGTTGGAGAGAGAGTTCCTGGGGAAACAAAGGGCAACATTTTCAAAAGTGCCTACGTGATTTAGGCACATCTGAAAATGTTGCCACAAAGATTTTGGGTGAAATCAAAGGAGCCATGATTATTCACACTGACTGAGAATCTAGTCCTCTTGTCTTTAAATCACACACTTGACAACCTCCATTTTATGTGATACTGTAGATTTAATATTTTGTCATCTGTCTTTTTAAGCACCAAGATCCAGGGATAGGTACCCAAAGCAGGTTTTCCAAAGAACCCTCATCCAACAGCTCTCATTGGGGCAGCTAAAAAATGAGGTGACTGGGTTTGCCTACAGAGCCGTCTGCTCAGCATCTGTCATCCAGAACAATGGGAGCTGCTGGCCGCTGATTCCTCTTGAAAATCTGGCCTCTTCATTTAGGTGCCTGAATGGAAGCAGAGCTCTTTTGAGTATCTGGTCCCAGTTGTGGTTGCTGAACATTTTGGAAAATCTGGCTCTTTAAAATAAATACATAATTGGGGTGGAGCAAGAGAGACACTACACAAGGAATCATATCTGACAGTACTGACGTTATCAGACAATAACACCCCCCTCCCAAACTGGAGGATGGCAATGCCCACGGTGAAGGCTGGATCCAGGGTAGGCATAATCAAATAATGTGCTTGCATCTGAACATGTTATCCGGCTAATCCTATTTATATATATTTTTAAGAGGCTTAAGAAAATTACCCGTCTTTTTAATGCAGCACTAAGGTTCTCCGTTATGATAAGAAAATGGTTTGTAATACAATATAGAGTTTATAAAGCCTGTGGGCACACCAGACTGGCCAAGAGCATGCACAGAAAAATGATACATAGAACATAAACAGGGACACATCCTTTGATGGGAAGGAAATTTGATCATCTGCACATCCTGTCTTTCCAAGATCCTCATCCTCCTCTATCCCCCGCCCCCAACCAAGGGCTTCCTCTGTCTTTTATCCCTGGATTATCTCTTGTTTGCTCAGAATGATAAAGAATAAACCAAGCACAAACCCTCTGGATTCTTACCTTTTTATAAGCATCTCTGGTGTTCTTTATTTTTATTGTAAGAGGCTGCTTTCTGCTGGTCTTTGCTCTTTAAGAACCAACCAAGCCCCCCCCAATTCCTTAACCCCCAAACAAGCCACCCTTTTTGGTTTCTGTTGCAAAAAGACAACAGTTGTGATCATTCAGATCCAAGGAGATCTCACCACTTACTATTAACACCACAATCTCCTTTAGTCATTTGTCACATGTCGAGTTGGAAGAATACCGCCTCTCTAAGTGTTTTTTCCATAGCAGCCCCCATCACAGTTTCTATTTGCTGTTTTATTCTATGAATTTGTTCCCTTAAAATTGTCAGTTTTTCCTCCTTTGACCACATCTATGGCTAGGTAAAGTATTCACCAGTTTAAACTGATCATATGTGGCGTAATCTGTCTATCAATTTCCCACCACCCTTTCACTGAGTCTAGTTTGGGAAGCTCAGGGACTTGCTGTGTTCAAAGTGGTTCAGAGTGATGGCTCCTTTACTTCGCTGGGCCTGCTTTGACTTCACACTTTCTTTCCTTTCTCTTCCTCTTTCCCGCTTCCCAAGTGTGCTAACTGCCCCCTACTCCAGGCCTGGATTCAGACATGCCCTTAAGCACATACTTCAGTCCAGCCATATTCAGGAAAGCATTTAAAGCACGTGCTTCAGGTTAAACAGGTGCTTTCCCGAATTAAGGTCCCAGATATGGAGAAATGGGATTCTCACTCTCTAAATTGCTGCCTCTTAGATTTCTTTTTAACTTCTTCCTTTTCACCCGCCATTAATGAGAGAAGGGTCCTTGCCTACAGTCAACATCCTGGTTTTCTGAGCTTTAAGTAGCCTTAGGTACATCTTTCAGCAGTGTCGATGTAGTGTAAACTAACTGCACACCACTCTTCAGAGGTGAAGGCGAGTACTTTGGCCAGCAGAGCATGAAAATGGTGATTGAACTACCAGTAGGGGGAGTGTTTATGTGTGTGATCCATCAACGAGTCCATTAAAAACCCCTCTTTCAGGGCTGTGGGTTTACACCACTAGCCTTTTGGATTGTATTCATGCTATTAGCCTAGAGGACAATTTTAAAAACAACACATATAGGTCGATTCAGGTGTTATAACTTTTAGTGAGAAAAGGAAGTGGGGATGGGGAGACAAGAAGCTAGAAGTCTGTCACTTTGTTTTCTCCCTCCCCAAGTGCGCACGCACACAAACTTTCTCTCTTTTTCAAACAACGTTGGTGACGTCTTTTTAAAGCACCGAAATTTCAGGTGCACACAGTCTTTGGTGTAAACCGGGGTGCCGAGGGTTTTGTGGCGGACCTTTGGCCTTGGGTGTAAACACAACTCTCCTTGTCATGAAAGGGGATTAACAGCTGAAGTTTCTTCTGGAAAAACAGGATCCTTTAAAATGAAGTATTTAGTTTTGCCCCACGTCTTACAGGACACAGATCGTATTGTAAATTTTGGTTGGCAAACTACCACCGATGTGAGGAGCAGCATATGTACAGCGAGTGGTGTGTGCTTTGGAGGCGGCAGGGGAGAAAGCAGAGGGAGCTGAAGTAGCCCAGAAGGAGATGAAAGAGTCCCCAGGGTGGCTGAGGCACCATAAACGTGTGGGTTATTAGCATTGCCGAAGAATTAGTTGAGAAGCTTTTCAGAACCGGGGTGACTTTACATACCCTATGTTGAGACACCCATGGCCACAGCTGTCACATGTGTTCAACTGAGGGAAACGTGATGTAAAACTCTTTCAACTTTATTTTAATATATATAAATGGGTATTCTCCTTCACTGCAAGTGAAGAGCCATGTGCTCCCCTCCACACAGCTGGAGGGGTAGGTAGATTGCTCAGAGGACCAAGTCCCACTGGGCAGGATCTGGGCAGAGGAAAAAGATGGCTGAACGTTATATTCTCTTCCCATCCCAGCTGCCTCCTCAGGAATTATGATATTTTTATGCTTTGCAAGCTGTCCCTGCTAGGAACAATGCAGGGACACATGCAGCCTTTCTGAATCCTGGAGGGGGTACGTGCTGGGCGTGGGTACAACATGCAGCAATGCTACAGAGGTGGCAAAGTTGTGGAGACAGAGACCTGTCCTGTGGAAGACCAGAGATCCACAGGATTTTCCTTCCCTATCTCAGAACCTATTTAGGACAACTGCCCATTCTGGGCCAACTCTACTGCCAGCACCAGTTCCAAGAAGGGAAAATGTGGCTGGACCTCAGCAACTTAATAGCTGCAGATGTGTCTTGGGCTTTTTGAGGATAGGATTTAGCTGTAAAATTTTGTGGGGACTTACCAAAGAACGGCCATACTGGGTCAGACGAAAGGTCCATCTAGCCCAGTATCCTGTCTTCCAACAGTGGCCAATGCCAGGTGCCTCAGAAGGGATTACCTGTTCTGTTCATTATCAAGTGATCCATCCCGTCGCCCATTCCCAGCTTCTGGCAAACAGAGGCTAGGGACACCATCCCTGCCCATCCTGGCTAATAGCCATTGATGGATCTATCCTCCATGAAGTTATCTAATTCTTTTTTGACTTTTTTTTCCAGTTGAAACTGTCGTCCTCCTCTAGGAGCCTCACCAGTAGATGAAGTTAACTGAATTACTAGCCGGGAAAGAGCCTGCAGGATTAGTTATGTATCATTTTATTAGGTGTAAAAATATATTGGACCAGAACATAACGTTATTGATACAAAACAAAGTTTTGGTTCTGTTATTAACATTAACAAATCTTGCCATGTCAGTGACTCAAACTTTTAATCAGTATTGCTTCTGGTTATTAGCAGGCATCTGAGAGAAGCAGTGGTCAGGTGGTGGTCTTGTGGCTGGTCATAGTCTAAAATGCCAGCTGGTGCCTGTCTTCCTGGCACCCAGACTTGTTTTGGCAGGTGTAATATCCATAGCATGCTGCTTTCTCCATTATCCTGATGAGAGGGATGGCTGGCCAAGGACATATTTGGTACCCTGCAGCTGGACAATACTAGCTGTGGTGAGCCCACTCTCCATTGTAAGGCTTTCCTCTCTGTGTCTCTCTCTCTCTCCAGATTTAAAGCACATACTTCACCCTGGAACTTAAAAGAATGCAGGATTCCAACTCCATACCATTCTAAAATTGTTCTTTTAATTTTTTCCTACTCTGCTTTGTAAAGAAGCATGGACCACATCCTCAGCTGGTATGAATCAACATAGCATCATTGATTACACTGGAGCTATGCTGATATACACCCGTTGAGGATCTGGCCATGTAGGTGAAGGCAGTCTTCTTGCAGATTTTCTGCTCTTACAAACATTTATCATATTTGCTCACCCCTGCATACAAGTAGTAGGAGGCACACAGAGAATCAGAGAATAATGGCAAAAGGACAGACTAAGTGCACTACCAGGTCTTTCCCCTCTGATTTTCATGATTCTTTCTTTGCTTTATGCTGAAGGCACCTATGGGACCTGTTTAACTTTTTTTTTTTTAAACAATGACTGAGTTAATTTCCTTACCTGCTTTTTACTGAGAAATGCAGATAATTCAATTATTGCTTTGATCATAATTTATTCAGCATAAATCTGTTTGCGTGCACAACAAATTCTAGCAACAAGCTTTTTTTTTAAAAAAAAATAGCGTGTGCCAGTGTTTATTTTGTAATGTTGCTTTGTGTGGCAGTGCATGAATTTTCAAAGCATCACAGACAGGTTAATTCTGGAAGTGGCCTGCCACAATGTACACTGCGCTAAGATTCCGGCAACAAGCAGCAAATGTAATTTGTGGTAGATTCTTTTTATTATTACTAAATATAACTTATAAAGTGTCTTACAGGTTAGAATGACAAGAGTGAAGGCCAAGATTTTCAAAAGTTCCAAGCGATTTTGGGCATCTCAGGTTTTGAGTGCCCAGTCTGAGGCATCTGAAAGGGGCCTTATTTTTCAGAAAGTGCCAAGGACCTGCCCTCCGGAAGCAGTCCTCTTTAAAAGGTATCACTAGGCACTTCTGAAAATCTTGGCTTAAGGCTGCTTTGTATATAGTGGCATTTGGGTGGCCAGTGTGAAATGAGTTGCTGCTCTCAGTCCAATTCCTAACATATCACATTTGGCATTAATGTTCTCTCTTCCTTTTGGAAATGTTAGCAGAAGGGTCAAGGATCGAATGGCCATGAAGAAAGAATTGCCCATTGTCCTCAGAAGTTCAGTCACAGTGAATACAATTCGGTGGAGCAAAGCACTGTGTTAATGTTGTGATTGGAGAGAGGTTTTCATTCTCTAGGGCTCTCATTCTGAGAACCTTTCATAAGCACGAACATGCATCTACATTTGTACCAGTGCCAGCATGTTTTGCACGTGGACTAAAAATAAGATGGCCTTGGGGGATAAAGCCCAGAACTGGGAAGTGAAAGACCTGGATTCTGTTGCTAGGTTTGCCAGACTTCCTGTGGGACCTCAAGCAAATTCCTTATCTCACTGTGCCTCAGTGTCCTCATCTATAAAATGGGGATAATGCCTAGCTTCCTCTCAGGGATGTTGTGGGACTACCTTCATCAATATCTGTATCGCACTCATTCTCAGAGAGAAGGTTCTATGGGCCTTATTTTCAACAGAGCTCTGCTTCGATTTAGGGACCAAAATGAGCAGCTCAGCCCTCAAATCTGGCCTCTTATTTTGATGCCCAAGTGGGTGCCGAGGTCTTTGGAAGATATGCCCACACCTAAGGGTGCTGAGCACTTGAAAAATCTGACCGTATAAAATATGCAAAATTATTTAATTTTATCACTACAGCTACTTGCTTAATGAGTTAGCTTGCCCATTGCCCAGTTTCTAGCAGTATGAATCTGGTGGGGTTGGAGTGAACGGAGTATAATCTACTAACGAAGAGCCAGCATAGCTACTTATCTTGAATGGTGGAGGGGAAGTCACCTTGACTTTGTGACCACAGGTGGCATGTTCAAGGGAGCTGCTGTAAACCTGGGTGAACATTGTTCTTGTGCATGATGGTGGAGGAGCAGAAAGGCCTGTTTTGTAAAATCCTTATTTTGTTTGTTTCGCAGGTGTTTTTCCAGGTCTGACCATCTTGCCCTCCACATGAAGAGACACATCTAAGTACCTAAAATCAGTCAGCATGGCATAGATGTCAGCTGAGCTAAAAGACATGGCATGAAGGGTGGAACTCGGTTATAACCCGCTGCCTTGCAGAAGAAGAGAACTTGATCACATGTAAACCTCTGTACACAGACCACACACTCACACTGTCATGCACCCAACTATACTTAAATACATACATCTGTTCTTTATGCCTTGCCCCAGCTGGATGGAAGAAGGTGCAGGAGAGGAGATGGGGTAGAGGTGAAGTCAGTAAGATAGAACAATTGCTTACAGTACTTCATCACCCTTGGATTTGGTTCCAGCTATTGCCAGTAGAAATCAAAGTAAATGGAAGAGGCTTCTCTGCAGATGGACAGCAAGTAGGAGGGGCTTATTTAACTCGCTTCTCAATGCAACTCCATAGGAGAATATGTCGTCTTCAAGTTGCATATTTGTAGCACTAACTTTTCTTTTTAAATAGATGGGGGGGAATAATGACCTAGAAAACCAAATCCCAGTTTGGTAGCCAAAATTAACCTCTTGGTTCCTTTATTCTTTGTCTGAGAATTCCTAATGCTCGACACGTCAAACTTCTCACAGACACTTTGATCTGTCTTGGTTTTGGTTCTTCCTAGAACTGAGCTATTAAGATCCTTTTAAGTCAATACCAATGGCCTTAATGGCAGTTGACTGTGGAGTGACACCTGTGACATATACATCATCTGTTTGGCCTGAGTTTATGTAGACTTCATGGAGGATGATATTTTTGTTTGGGTATTTTTGTGTTAACTTTTTTTAAGCTATTGCATGCCCTATGCACTGGTAGGGATTATGGAAGCTGCTGGCATGACTGGAAAGCAGCCAAAGAAAGAATCCCTGAAACACCACGTTATATCTCCATAGGCATCACCTTATTGCCATAGCTAGGACTTCTTGTTTTGTCTAATGAAAACTTGAAAAGCTCATATGGAAGCTTAGACATTTTATCTTTTCTCCATGAACAAGTGATCTTCAGAACTTCTTTTCTTCACCTGCTTATCTGTCTTGGACTGGCCAATCAGGCATGACTACAGATTTCCTTCAGCACCATGTGAGCATGTTGGCTACAATCCACAGTGATTGACAAATTGTGTTGCGTGTTCTTGTTATTCTATTGACCAGTTTAAAACATTGACTTTTATTTGTTGAAAGAGCACCTGCAAACATTTATTTTCTAAGCCTAACTTTTGGTTAAGCATCTTAACAAAAAAAAAAAAAAAGCCAAAAATACTACTCCGGTCCCAGAGTGGGAAAGTGAGACCCTCTTCCAAATAAAGTGGCTTCATTCAGCATTAATCTTTTAAAGTAAAGATCACAGTCCTCCTTTCCCATTCATCAAGGTGATGGTATAGCCCACTGATATAAAAAAATTGTAAGAATATTTAAAGGGTGAATGAAGGATTGGCTTTTGTGCACAGCACTGAGGATTTTCCAAGTGATCGGTCTAAAGTATTGGTAGCATGGGTCCTATTCGACCTTCAGTCTGTACCATCTAGGATCAATGGAAGCCTCATGCTCACCCTTGAATCCTGTAGATAATTTGACCATCTTGGCTCAAAGTGGACTAAATTTCTTGTTTAAAAAAAATAATAATATATATATATTATATAAATACAACTTGCATTTATAGCAAGTTGGCACTGGCCCTAACTCCAAAGACTGCCTTTAGGACCATATAAAATGGCCTATGCAAGCAGGTGGGGTGGTCATTAGGACAGGTTGTATATTTTGTATATTCTGGGACCCTCCCTACAAGACATGTCTAGAAATGAAACAAAATGGCATGTGGTCCACAAATGGTTGCTGCTCTTTTATACTGTACTAGCCAACTGCCCTCCTTTGACTGTTTTGACTCATTGACTGTTAAATATTTCCCTTTTGGGATACAAAACTGAACTTTTAAAAAAAATCCATAGCTGTAAAACGTAAGAGCAATCACTGGAATCATTGCAACCTTTATTCCAGTCAGAGATTGAATCTACCTGAAAGATGTTTATTTTGCTCACAGTTTTTACAAACACTGACTGTCAGTTGGACACTTTGGTGGGGAATATGATATCTGGCCCATACGGCATGAGATATGGACCAAAATCTAACCATCTTTTTGGGGGGCAATGATGTAACAGTGAAAAAAGTAAGAGAAAATTGAGTTTTAGTCCAAAGATTTAAAACTAACTTTACTATTAAAAAAAAAATTACTGGAGCACTGCTTGCTGACAATCTCGTAGTTCTCAACTTCTGTATTTGCATACTTCTTATGGCCATTCCATCCAGGAGTTCAATTGGGTTCTGAGGGCCCTACAACCCAACTTGTGTTTGAATATGTGGAGCATCTTACCAGGATGTCTCATGGGAGCTTGAGGATACTTGAACCTCAGTTGCGTGAAACTATAGAGCATCCATTCAGTGCATTAGATAAAAATATAGAAAACTCTAGAAGAAGTTCATTCCCATAGTATCCTACAGTACATGTGCACATACCCACCACTACATTAGTCATTGGCTATGAACCTGTATAAATATTCTCTTCAGAACTCTAGGTACTCCTGCCTCTAGAAATGTTACTAATAGTCCAGAAGACTTAATATTAAAGGCAATTAAAGTACAAGGCTCTATTTTAAAAATGAAAAAAAATTGGAGAGAAAATATTTGCTTCCTCTTGTCACTTGAGGTCTTGTTGACATCTCATTTAAAATATAGCAGAACAAGGGCCTTTTGATAAATATCAAAAATTTCTGAAATATTTGGAAACTCTTGTCTCTACAGATAGGTCTAGAGGTGTTCTACAGACCTCTATTAGTTTCCTCCATATTAAATTCTATAGGACTTTTCTATTAGGAGAGAAGTCTTCGAAAAGAAAAAAGTTATGGAAGTCCCAGTATGACTCTGTCAGCAGACATTACTGTACCATGCAGCCTATCCCTATGTCTTGGGTCCTTACCCGACACATTGGAGTTAAATTCCATTAGATCTAAAGTAATTTACATCACTGTGCATACGCACATTAGAATACTATCTTTCTTCTCATTGGCAGCAGGCTTCACTGGAATCTGATTTTTTTTTTTTAAAGGCAAGCACCATTTTGCTTGATACCCTGAAACCATTGACCAAATATGAGAGAAGAGGGTGAATTGGAATGTAAAAGTGGGATCGCTCGTTGCTTTCAGGACTCTGTGTTTAGTTTAAACTAAAAGCAACAACTAACCTTTGATGTCCTGCCTAAAACTGAGACAATGGATGAATATGGTGGCTAGTGTGACTGAATGTACCTTCTCTGTGACTTGATCACTATTTGCGAACTCAGAAGCTCTCTCTCTCTCATTGTTCCCCATTTTGGGGCATTTTCGTTTCTTTAGCAGTTTTCAGTACAAAGATTGCCCCCCTATTTAAGCTGTTGGTATCTTTGCTTCTCTATGTACTGAAGAGATCATAACTGATGCTTGCAATATAAGAAACAAATCAAGCTTGTTTCCTTTTTTTCCCTCCACCTTACATGTGTCAACGTATAAAAAAATATGAGGGGAAAAAGTTTGTAAATAATTTCACTTTCACAAGGCCAACCGCCAGTGGCTCCAGGGTTTTTAAATCACGCTTTTATTCATGCCTCAACACATCTGGGCATCCCATGCAGTAGGATTTTGTATGTTTAAGCTTTCATATTTGTGGGCAAAACCTCTAACCCAACACTCCCTTAAAATACATTTTGTTGGTTTCTGGTAGATCATATATTTTAAAAAGAATGTGAAAATAACTCTATTCAGTATTGGCTTGAAAAACAAAAACATGGAAATCCTCTTCTTCATAAGATTTTACACCCCTTGATCGAAGAGTCTTGCCTTCTCTTACTAGCATTATTTCTAGTCCCTTGGAATGATGATTTCACAATGAAGCTAATGTGGTTAATCTTCCAAGTGTTGCATTAATAATAACCTGGACAAATTCTGCGATCTTACTCAGCCACAACATCTCAGTGGCAAGTTTTGCCCAGGCAAGAACTGCAGCAGTTGGCCCCCACACACTAAGGTCTCTCTTATGTAGTGAAACTTTTCTCCCTTCGTTGAGAAAGAGGTCAGTTATATTCAAAAATGGACTTACCTAACCGAAAAGATTCAGAAGCAGGTGTTTTCAAACAGGGTTTTGGGTTTTTTCCCCCCTTAAAGCTTATTAGTAGCATTTTTATGTAAAAATTAAAGTTGGACTGTTCATAATTTTCAAAATGAAAGCATTTACTTTTAAGTGTTTTGATTCCAACTTCTGTATACTGCCAGAAAACAGGTTCTACCCCCTCCCTCTGGGTGTGTATGTACAGCACATACTTACATGGAAGGAGAAATTGAGCTACTGACATTTTCAGTGTGGTAGCCAACTGTGCCTATTACCTTTGGTTTGGGGAGGGTGCTTACTGTTGCCAGTGCATTTTAGAAATAGCATGGGCTTACATAGGAAGTTTTCAACCGTATTTGTTGCTGTGTATTGTGAGCTAGGCGGCTGCAAACTAGGGGGCGGGGGAAAGGAGGGCTCAGACTATATACCCTGAGAGTGAAACAATGGAGAGAGATGGCATTTTTAGCCTTTATCTTTGGACTGTAGAGAAAAATAAAAACCAACACAGTCCCAGAAAGGCCTGTTGGCTGCGGGGGTTGATCCTTAGCTTATATTTTAACCCCTCTCTCCTGTAGTTTAGAACACGAGCCCTACAGGCCCGGAGAGTAGCTTGAAACACTGGTTTAAACACTACTTTGTTATTGGGGCCTTGTTTCTACCAGACAAGTTGCACCAGTTTTATTAAATCAAGCTAGTTAAACTAATACAAAAAGCCACTACATAGGTGCACTTAACCTTTGCTCAAGTCTGTTTAGTTTGCATTGGTAACTTTTAAGTAATCTTAACTGATGTAAGAAACAGCTAAGCTATTTTAGGTGCCTTTATATTGGAGGCTGGCTCTGGTTTAACTAGATTGATTTTAAAAATCAATCCAGATGAAATGCTGTAACTTTTCTCACATAAAACAAGGCCTTAGTATTTCCGCTCATTTAAACAGGAAGTAAAAAATAAGGCCAAGATATTTTTCTTTTATAGCAAAGTTTACTTTCTGCCCCCCCCCAAGGCCCTCCCTTGTTTAAGCTCTTTCTTGCTTCCTACCATATCAGTCTTTCCTTTAACAAAAACAAAAATAAATATGAGTGCTCCCCATTTGAAACAAAAACAACCCTCCCCCCCACACACACACAAACAAGATAGCTTGAAGGATGTTCATTTTGCACTATAATTTTTCTTTTGCCAGATGTGTCTAACAAGTGCATTTGGAGATGCCCTCGGTCACATTCTCTCAGGCCTACTCTGGTATTTCTAATATATCACAGAAGTACCCAAATCTTGTAGCCCTCAGTTCTGCCTTTTTTTGACATTTTATTTTTTTTAAGCTTTTTATAAATATATATATATATAAATATAAATATATTACTTTGTCAGTTTTTTTGCTGTACAAAAAGTCTTAAGATTTAAAAAATATTATTTGTATTATATGATGGTGGTATGTTAATGTTACAAAATTATTAATGAAGAAAAAATTTATTTTTGTTACTGGTCTGTTTCATAATTCTTTTTTAAATTGGTATATTGTAAGATATCTATGCAAAAATGTTATGTGATGCATTTTTATTTAAGAATGTAATATGTGTAATAAACAGTAGAATGTGTTTGGCCTGAAAACGGTCAGTGTGTCCTGAATGTTATTTCTTTATCGGAACTTCTCTGAATGAAACCTCTTCAGATAATACGGCCTTAACACTGCAAACACATACATAGAATCATAGAACCATAGGGTTAGAAGGGACTGCAAGGGTCATCTAGTCTAACCACCTGCCAAGATGCAGGATTTGTTGGGTCTAAATCAGGGATCGGCAGCCTTTGGCACACGGCCCACCAGCTCATTTAAACAGGAAGTTAAAAAGTCGTGGAATCTCCTTCACTGGAGTTTTCAAAAAGAGGCTGGGAAGCGGCACGGGCCGAGGGATGTGCTGGCCCTTCCCGCAGCCCCCATTGGCCTGGGACGGCGAACCGTGGCCAGTGGGAGCTGTGATCGGCCGAACCTGCGGACGCGGCAGGTAAACAAACCGGCCTGGCCCATCAATGGCTTTCCCTGGCGGGCCGCGTGCCAAAGGTTGCCGACCCTGGCCTAAATTATCCAAGACAGATGGCTA